ATTATTTGAATATAATTGCATACCTTTTGGCCTCAATTGTGCCCCTCTTGTATTCACCAAATTAATGAAACCTGTCCTTTCATTTCTTAGAGGACAAGGCTTACTTTCGGTGCTGTATCTTGATGATTTTTTATTATTGGGAAGAACTTTTGATGAATGCCAGAAAAATGTTTCCTTAACTATCAATTTTCTAGAGAAATTGGGCTTTCTTATAAATTATCAAAAGAGTGTTATAACTCCGTCAAAGACTGTTCGATATCTAGGGTTTACTTATGATTCTCAAGATATGTCAATTTCTATACCGGAGGATAAGAAAGATTCACTTCTAAGATATGTTAGATATCTTTTAAGGAATACGCGCTGTAAGATACGCTTTTTCGCCAAAATAATCGGAAAATTAATTTCTATATGCCCGGCTGTTCGTTATGGATGGTTGTATACTAAATTAATGGAAAGAGAAAAATTTTTAGCCTTGAAGCGAACAGATGGAAATTATGATAGAATTATGGCTATTTCTCCACTGTTATATAACGATCTCAGGTGGTGGCTATCGCATATAGAAAATGATAGTACCAACTCTATTAAGTTGGATTTTTTCCAATTGGAAATTTTTTCAGATGCCTGCTTAACGGGCTGGGGAATATTTTGTAATAATGTTAGATCTCATGGTTTTTGGTCCTTAGAAGAAAGGAAAGAACACATTAATTATTTAGAATTAAAGGCAGCATTTTTTGGTTTAAAATGTTGTGCCGGTCATCTTTCTAACCAAAATATTCTCTTACGCATTGATAATACTACAGCCATTGCCTATATAAATCGAATGGGAGGCATTCAATATTTTAAATTAAATTCACTGTGTCGTGAGATTTGGCAGTGGTGTGAAAGCAAAAATTTATTTATATATGCGTCTTACATTAACAGTAAGGATAACATAATTGCAGACATAGAATCACGTAGGTTACATCCTGAGACGGAATGGGAGTTGAACGACAAATATTTCAGAGAAATTGTTTCAAGATTTGGAATCCCAGAAATAGATCTTTTCGCTAGTCGCATTAACTCTAAATGTCCAATTTTTATTTCGTGGCATCCTGATCCTCTTGCATTCAAAGTGGACGCTTTTACTGTCAATTGGGGTACTTATCATTTTTATGCCTTCCCCCCTTTTTCAATAATACTTAAAGTTGTGCATAAAATCATTAGAGACAGGGCCCAAGGTATAGTAGTTGTGCCGCATTGGCCTACACAGCCTTGGTACCCCATTTTTACATCTCTTCTTAAAAAGCCACCAATTTATTTTCCGGCTAGTAAAGATGTCCTTTTATGTTTTGACAGATCTCAGACACATCCCTTATGGCCACAACTTATCCTGGTTGCAGGTCTCTTATCCGGCAGGGTTTAGAATTAAGAGGAACGCCGAAGTCTGCAATTGAGGTCTGCCTTGCTTCAATTACAGAATCTACTGTTAAACAATATGATTCCGGTTTAAAGCGATGGTATCAATTCTGTAAATCCAGAAATGAGAGTTGCTTCACTGCTTCAATTGCGACTGTCCTCGAGTTTTTGCAGGAAGAATATAATAAGGGAGCGTCATATGGTACACTCAATTCCCATCGATCCGCTTTAGCCCAGGTTTTAGGCCCCTCATTAGCACAAGATTTTCGCGTAAAACGGTTTTTTAAAGGTGTATTTCATTTGAGACCTAGTTTGCCGAAGTATCAAAATATCTGGGATCCATCACTTGTCTTAGATTATTTGCGAACACTAACTAATGGAGATTGCACACTAGAGCAAATATCATATAAATTAGCAACATTGTTAGCTCTTACCTCAGCTCAAAGAGTTCAAACGCTTTCTCTTATTCAACTTGATGACATAAAATCTTCATCCCAAGGCGTTCAGATATTTATTCGCGATCGTATAAAAACCTCTGGGCCAGGTAAAGCCCAGTCTGTTATTTCTTTACCCTTTTTCAGAAGCGATGAAAATATTTGTGTCGCCAGCACTCTCCTATTTTATATAGAAAAAACGAAGGATGTAAGAAATGCTGTATGTAACAGGCTCTTAATCACCTTTAAAAGACCGTACCATAATGCCTCATCACAAACACTTTCACGTTGGATTCGAAATGTTTTAATTAAAGCTGGTATTGATACCTCTAAATTTGCATCTCATTCAACAAGACATGCATCTACTTCCTTAGCGGATCGTAGAGGTGTATCAATAGATATAATTAGGTCAGCTGCTGGTTGGACCGGACATTCAAAAACATTTGCAAACTTCTATAAGAGACCGGTTTGTGATTCTTATGCTTATGCGAGGGTCATATTAGATCAACCAGCTACATAACTAATTATTATTTTCACTTAACAATAGTATTCCTTAGTTATTCCTTATGATAAATTATGCCAGTGTTGTAAACTATTTCTGAGTTTAGGAACTAGCTAAATATTTAACTAGTTACTCTGTTTTCTTAAATACCTTAGGGTTATTCCCTAGTTTAATGTTGTTTGATGTTATAATGTTATGTTTTATGTTTACTATTATATAATGTTAATGTTGTTCTTCCGCTGTTGAATTCATACCAGTATTTCGAATGTGTTTCTTATTCGAATTATATTCGTTAAAATAAGATTTTGGAACTTCTTATTTTCCTCTTATAGAGCCTAAAATTTTTTGTTTCGTCTGCAGTTGCACAATTATTTGCTTTAAACATCTACGTTTGTTCTTATTTACGGAACGAGGACGAAATATAATTACTAAATCAAACGAACTTACCTGTAATGAAGTTCGATTGTAATTATATGAAGTCCTCGTGAAGTAAATAAGTCCCTCCCTCCCCGTTTTATTTTCCCTATTATTAATTGCATCAACTGCAGACAGATCTTTGAATAATGAGACATGCACACGACGGTACCACCGACGTGGCCGGGTAGCGGGGTAGCGGACGGGGGCGGTTTGTTTACTTTAAAAATTCGTGATGTACGGTGTGGAATAGAGAGACTACGTTTGTTCTTATTTACGGAACGAGGACTTCATATAATTACAATCGAACTTCATTACAGGTAAGTTCGTTTGATTTAGTAATATTATATTAGTCAAAATGAGGTTAGCACTGTGACTGAGTAAAGGGATTTGGGATCAATTATAACAAATGATTTGAAGTCAAATTCCCCTGTTTTCTTGGACATTTAAGTACTTGAAAAGTTAGTTAGTTTCAAACACTTACAAGCAGTTCATAAGATCAATACTTGAATATGGCCAAGGTATATTATGCCCTCATTATGCAAGAGACATAGAGATACTTGAAAGCTTTCAAAGAAGAGTGCCTAGATTAGCAGTTGAGGTAAGATATTCACCACATGAAACAAGACTCGAAAAATTCAAGCTTCAAACTTGATCACAGAAAAGACTGTGAGGGGACCTTATGGAAACGTTTAAGATAATAAAAGGTCATTATGAGTTGCAACATGCAAATCTTCAATCTATCGACTCATCATCAACTTAGGGGACATCAATATAAATTATGTAAAGAAAGTTTTTGACAAACCGAGTACCCACAGTTGGAATAGTAAATGCTTCATCTATAACCCAGTTTAGAACAGAACGTTTAACTTATTTTTTATTAAGAATACGGCTTAGGCGCAAATCTAATGTTTATACATAAGATTTAATTAAACCACTACTAATTAAAAACCTGTGGAAACAACTGTCGCAGCCTACTGTCAAGTGCAAATGTTACATTTCCACTTGAAGGTCACTCAAGACGTCGTTTGAGATCCAAGGGTTGATGAGCCATCGATCGTCACTCATCGATCAACGGCTGAGTATATAAGTGTGAGCCTAAACATAACCAACATGTACGTGACGTAAGCGTTCGAGTGTTTTCTCAAACAAAAAAAAGCTTATTTTTTACTTCTAATTTTCTGGATGTTAATAGCGCTGGAGACGGTTCTTCCACTCCTCATAGCAGTTCTGGAACTCCGGTACTGGGATAGCCTTCAGCAGGTGAGTTACAGCCGTTTGAATGTTTTCGACTGTCCCAAAATGTTCCCTAGGGGTGATTTTTAAACTTCGGGAAGAAAGAAAAGACACAAGTCACTCAAGTAAGGTGAATAAGGAGGTTGAGGAGCCACAGGAATGCTTTTTCTAACCAAAAACTCGATTATTGACATCGCACTATGTGACAAGGAGCATTATTATAATGCAACACCCAGTTGTTCTTGATCTAATGAACGGTGGTGTGAGTAAATTTAACTCTTCAGCGATCATCCTGACTGTCAACCGACAATTTGAACGCACAAGATCACGGGTTCTGTCGATATTTTAATTGGTTCTTGAAGATGAAAGCCTTCCGCTTCGTGGTTCATCGCAATCAACTCGCTCCCTACTTAAAATGCCTTAAACCACCGAAAAACTTCAGCTCTTGACAAAACACTCCGTAGGCCTGCTGAAGTTTGGCAAGAGTTTCCGTTGCACTGTGCTGAAGCAAAATCTGATAGTACTCCGCTGCTTGAAATTGATTCATTTTTAGAACACAACAGAAAAAATTATTTCACAAAAAAAAGCTACGGTCATCCAAATGACTCGAGCGGGTTCAAACTTGTACTGAAGGTAGATCAAATGCTCCCCTGTCTTCACTCCAAGGCCGGCGCCTACAGTGTTGCCACATGGAAAACTTGAAATGATGAACTAGCAGTGTGCAGGCAAACCTGTCACATTATCAAATATATCTAATTCATACAAATATATTAAGTTCCCTTTTAAAAACCTTCATTACAAAAAAGTCCTATTCCTACACCTCACATAGTTGATAATATCTCTGGGAAATTCCAAGTTATTTTCGTGGCTTAATGACAACTTGTCGCTCATTAAATTGTAGTTTGCTAACAATGATTATATTACACGAGAAAACGGTAGGGGTATCGTCATTCAGACGTCAATTATGGTGTTGGAGAATCATTAAAAATTAAATGTATATAATTTTTTCGATCACTTACCATAACGTAGTGCCGTTGCATTTCAGTCTTTTCGCTAGCTAATTTTTCACATTCTAGTTTTAACCTGAAACAGAAAAGTATCACTTCAACAACAAATAAAACAAAAATCGGAATGAAAGTATATACATATAAAAATGGCGTCAAGTAGGTAGACTTTATACTTCTCACGCAACGTCGTCATTAGTTCGTAAAAGAATATATTCAGCACAAGTTAGACCATATCGAAATAAGACAGCGCATAGACCTTATATCCTGGATAAAGCTATGCTTTCGTTCGTTGTCAGAAACATCAAGCTTAGGGCAGGCTGATGAGTTGTTGAAAAGCCCGAAACAGCCGTTACTGGTTGGGTGTCTTTGGTCGGACGTATGAATGTAGTATGAGTTAGACCCTCTGAGAAAAAAGTTAGTTACGAATATGCACAACAGAGAAACTCAACGGATCAAGTCCGTCAAACACGTCCGTTCAATTAGTCCATAGTATTAGAGAGCACCACACAAGCGAGGACACATTCTATTCGTCATTGTCTGTCAGAGCGGTCCGAAGGACCTTTGCTCTTGGTTAAAGTGTTGTAAGTCAGTAGGTCTGTCAGGTCTGGTTGCCCAGATACCAAACAAAGTCAGGGAGAAAGAAGGGAAGAAGAAAGGAAGGAATGAGGGAGAGTAAAAAAAAGAAGTGCGTCAATTTGAGGACACATATGAGCACCGGTACGCCGGCAACTGAAGTCAGCAGACGGAGGGCGCTTGTCGAAAACATTTTTCTATCATTTTGGTATAAACAGACGCGCGTGTAATGAAATATTTCTTTATCATCCTAAACTTTGAGTGCACATGTACTGGGAATCTATGATGTGTATAATATGTCTAATAGGTGACATGATTTTTTGTGATTGCACATCACATTACATCCAAAAAGCATGTCATTTTCGCATTTTTTCGCGATTACAAAACTACGGCGGGGGGCGCACATGCGGGCCGTCAGCGATCTAGTTCTCTCCTACTGGTACACCAACAGGATTTTTGCTTTCCAAAGCTCTCCTCCGCGATGCCGCCTCGCGGTGTGCTTGCATGACAGACCGCCTGACTTCGGCCACCCGTCCTAATCGTGTCGAATTTCGTACATCCAGAACTGGCCGATACGACCGATCCTTTGTCCCGAGGGTATCGAGATTGTGGAATAATCTACAAGAGGAGGCTTTTCCCAAAACAGGACCCGTGGGACTTCCATCAAACATTCTTCAATCCCTTAATTACCTTCAACCCTAGTACCACCAGAGTTTAAATGACGTATAGCTACATATTGCTTCTCTGCTTGTGAGAAAGTCCAAAGCCATTCTAAAGGCTGGTTTTTTATGCCATAACACGCTCGCCTATCAGAACAGTATCATGTTCGACACAGTCGACCCCAACAGGGCTCGTCATCAACGAAGTGAACAACTTCATCAAAAAATGTATGGATAACCGAGTTGGTGGATTTAGTATTTTTATACTAAGTGACATATAAATCCGAACACCCAGTTTAAATGGTTTTATTTTAATAAAAGTTGGTGAATGTATTTATCTTACTGTAAATAACAAGTGAAAAAATTTTCAGCCTTATCAGTTGGACGTTCCGGTTTTTATACTGCTCTTTTTTAATTCACTAACGCTCTAAAAATGAATATTTCAGCCGCAGTAAAGAATCAATGTTGGCGGATTTTGGTTCTTGACATCCTTTACGATCGGTTACGATGCCTAGAGTACGGAGACCTGTACGATTTCGTCAACTTAGTGAGTTTGATAGGGGCCGTATAGTGGGACTTCGGGAAGCTGGACTTTCTTTTAGGGCAATTGCAGTTAGAGTGCAAAGAAGTGTAGACACTGTGGTTAGGTGTTGTCAGGCATGGCTTCGAGAAGGCCGTACGCAAAGAGCAAGGGGCACTGGACGCCGCCGTAGAACAACAGACCGTGAAGATCGCCTTAAGGGACCGTTTCTCCAGTACCAGGTCCATTGCAAATGAATGGTTTGCAGAACACGGAAGACCTATTGGCAAGCGAAGTGTTTACCGACGAATGAGGAGTTTTGGCTAGTTTTCATACCGGCCACACTGGGTCCTCCCTTTAACTCGAGAACACCGACGTAATCGCCTTGAGTGGTGCAGACAACGGTCACTCTGGGATCAGGAATGGAACAGTATTGTCTTTAGTGACGAGTCTCGATTTTGTTTAGGCATGCACGATGGTCGTGCCAGGGTTAGAAGGCGACGTGGTGAAAGGAGGAATCCACAGTTTTTGTTGAAAGACATGTTCATCACACTGTTGGAGTTATGCTTTGGGGTGCTATAGCTTATGGTTCCAGGTCACCTTTAATCTTCATCAGAGGTAACATGAACGCACAGCGTTATATCCACGAAGTTCTAGAACCCCATCTTTTACCCTATCTTGACACCCTGGCAGATCCAACTTTCCAACAAGATAATGCCCGACGACATGTTGCAAGAGTCACAATAGACTTCTTTCAACATAATGATGTCACATTGTTACCATGGCCACCAAGATTTCCCGACTTATCCCCAATTGAGCACGTGTGGGAAATGATGGGTAGAAGATTGCTCAATTTGCAACGTCCTCCTCAGACTCTAGAAGCACTTCGAGAGGAGTTGGTGGTTGCCTGGAATGAGATACCACAGGAGGACATTGACCACCTGATCAGAAGCATGCCTAGGCGCGTTGGAGAATGCGTAGCACATCAGGGTGCATCCACACATTATTAAAAGTCAAAGGGCTTTAAAGCAGTGCAATCATTTTGAAATTTTTATCATTTACTTATTATGCTTCATTAAGTACTTATACAAAATTTTATTAAAATAAAACCATTTAACTGGGTTTTCAGATTTATATGTCACTTAGTATATTTTCCGAAACGTGTTGAGATAAGACATAAAATTTGGTATTCTAGCCTAGTTTTTTATGCTGGATTTAAAAATATTAACAATTTTAGACAGTTTTGTTTGGAAGCGTATGTAACAGGGACGGACTCAGGTTATTTTAGCCCCAACATTTTGTGTGATTCTATTTTGAAAATCAATTTAGAATTAGAAAATTTAGGGTTTTTCTACAT